GTGATCCACCCGCCTCGGCCTCCCAAAGTGCTGGGATTACAGGCTTGAGCCACCGCGCCCGGCCATCACTGTTGATTCTCTAACATGGAGCTCATGCCAACAGCATTCTAACATGGGCTCAGCAAAGTGTCCGCTATTGCCTCTGTCAGGCTAGACAGCAGTTCAGCACGGTGTTCAGGGAACACTTCACACAGCAAAATCACCAACAAATGGCCCTAAAAAAGTTAAAAAAAAAAAAAAGGCACAAAAAACTGACAACACTTTGGGAGGCTGAGGCAAGCAGATCACTTGAGCCCAGGAGTTTGAGACTAGCCTGGGCAACATGGTGAAACCCCACCTCTACAAAACATACAAAAACAACAGCAAAATAATAGGCCAGGCGCAGTGACTCACGCCTGTAATCCCAGTACTGCGGGAGGCGGAGGTGGGCGGATCACATGAGGTCAGGAGTTCAACACCAGCTTGGTTAATACGGTGAGACCCCATCTCTACTAAAAACAGAAAAATTAGCCGGGCATGGTGGCGGGCACCTGGAATCCCAGCTACTCAGCAGGCTGAGGCAGGAGAATTGCTTGAATCCAAAAGGCGGAGGTTGCAGTGAGCCGAGATCGCGCCACTGCACTCCAGCCTGGGCAACAGAGCGAGACTCTGCCTCAAAACAAAAACAAAAACAAAAACAAAACAAAAACAAAGATTAGCCAGGCGTAGTGGTGCACACCCATGGTCCCAGCTACTGAGGAGGCTAAGGACGGAGGATTGAGGCCGGGGGTGAGGGGGTGATGTGTGTGTGTGTGTTTGTGTGTGGTGGGCATTGAGGCTGCAATAAGCCATGATCGTGCCACTGCACTCCAGCCTGGGTGACAGAGCACGACCCTGTCTCAAAAACAAAAGCGACAAACGTAACACTCAACAGAATACAACAAGGACACTTACTTATGACATGAGAGCTAAAGGGAGCGGACAGCCTGGCCTCATTCACACTTTTGGGAAAGTAGGTGTCGGGTGGCTTGAATCTGTTGCCCGAAAGCAGGGCAGATATTTATTTGGGGATTAGAAATGAATCTTAGCAAGCGAACAGGTTCTCAAATGCGGAGTCTGCTAACACTCAGGGTTGCCCGTTGCTGCCGTCTCTGCATAGGAGGTGCCCTGGGCAGTCCACAGGCCTGACCTGCAGCTGCTTCAAGCACCCCATCCGCCCTGGGGGTCTCTTCCAGTGCCCTGCTACCCAGAGACCTAGTTTGGACCTTGCCACCTTCTAGACGACCTGTGACCTGAGCAAGTCACTGGGCCTCACTGTCCTGCCCTGTAAAATGGGGCAAAGGTGATACCTACCTTCTGAGCTTCTGAGGATCCAAGGAGTTAAAAAGAGCCAAACCCAGAGCCAGGCACAGCGGCCCACCATCCTCTGTAGGATGCCTACTTCTTCCGTTTTTTTTTTTTTTTCTTGAGACAAGAGTCTTGTCCTGTCTCCCAGGCTACAGTGCAATGGCGTAATCTTGGCTCACTACAACCTCCACCTCCTGGGTTCAGGTGATTATCCTGCCTCAGCCTCCAGAGTAGCTGGGATTACAGGTACATGCCATCATGCCTGGCTAATGTTTTGTATCTTTAGAAGAGATGGGGTTTCACTATGTTGGCTAGGATGGTCTGGAACTCTTGACCTCGTGAGCTGTCCGCCTCAGCCTCCAAAAGTGCTCGGATCCCAGGTGTGAGCCACGGCGCCCGGCCTGCTTCTTCCCTTTTGTGATGCACGCCCCAACCGCCCGGTTTCTGGGCCCATGGCTGCAGTGCTGGGGCTGACAGTCCTTAGCCTTCCTCAACAACAGGCACAGCCCTGAACCCGAGCAGTGCCAGGCAATGGGATGTGGGTGGAAATGCAGGGTGTAGCCTGTGGATTGCAGCCTATGAGGGCTACCCGCCCTCCAGATCCCCCTCTTCCTGTGGGCCAAAATGTGGACGAGGTGGAGAAGAGAGAGCCAGCGGGGACCACACACATGGGGGAGCAGAGGGTCCCAGGCTTCAGCAGAGCTCTTGACCCTCTGTGTCACGGGAATCTGCCCACGGCATTCTTACGCCAAACACAGCACTAAGAGTTCTGTTGATGTAGTTGGGTCGAAGTGACCGAACCATCGTAGTAGTTTATGTTGTGTCTAACAGATGTCGCTGTGCTTCCCTCAAGATTAAAAAACAATCCCATAGTACTCCTGTGAGTTTCCCGAGCACCCTGGGGTGCCTCAGCATGCAGTTGGGAAACTGCAGGCTTTGGGGCTGAAGGAGCAGAAAGACAGGAGACAGGAAGAACTCAGTCTCTGGGCTTCCTCGGGGAGCAAGGCTGCCTCCTGCCTGCCTTGTTTAAGGGAAGGGCGCACACCGAAGTCACGGGTCCCTCTCTGACCCAGGGTCACCACACGCTCCCTGTTGACCTTCTGGCTGCCCCTGCTGCCCAGAGCCTCCCATTTTCCCTAGAGGCCCCTGGCGCCGGCTCACCGTGTGATGCCGCGGTTGGTAGCCATGATCAGGACAGGCGCCATGTCGCTCTCCAGGGCGCGGTTGAGGAAGGAGAAGCTCTCAATGTCCAGCATGTGGACCTCGTCGATGAATAGCACCTGGGATTGGGGCATGTGTGAGAGTCGTCACCTGTGCCCCCTGCTTCCCCAGTCCACCCCCACCCCACCACCTGCCCCGGCAACGTCCTGGGTCCTCACCCCAGGGATGATCTCCGCCTTGCCCTCCTCGCGCCACTCGGCCACCTTGGCATTGATCTGCTCTCGAACTTCTGACTTGATCTCCCCTGTGTCACCTATGGGAGGTACAGGTTGCATCAGGGAAGTCAGAGAGGCAGGCTCCAGGGCCGGAATGTGGCTGAGACAGAGAAGGACAGATGCCAAGGATGGATGAGGGAGAGCAAAGCAAGGAGGGGCGAGAAGCCTGAAAAGTCCCCAGAGAGGAGGAACAGAGGCAGAGGAAACAGGAGAGAGGGCAGGGCCACACTCCCATCACAGCACCACGGAGGGGCTCGGACAGCAACAGTGGGGGCAGGAGGAAGCGGACTCACAGGTGGAGAAGAGAGGCAGCCACGGGCCTGAGTTACAGGAAAGGCCGTGGAGCGAGTGGGCCCCATTCGGAGCTCAGGGACAGGGGACCTGAGGGAGGCTGCCAGGCCTTGGGTAGGGCAGGCGGGGGCTCACCTGAGAAGAGCGCCAGGAAGCCCTGGGTGCGGGAGTTGATGACGTCGATCTCGTGCAGGGACACGGTGTGCACCACCTCCTTGCGTTTCTGGAGCTCCCCATCTGGGCACTGCACGAACTTGGTCTATGGTGCAGACGTGGGTAAAGCAGGGAGGAGACAAGAACAGGGAAAGGCATGAAGGAGCCCTAAAGGCCTCTGTCTGGGGGAGACTAGAGCTCTGGGAAATGGAGCTGGGAGGCCAGACAGGGCCATCTGGAAACCCCAGGCCCAGGAGGTAGTCAGGTCTAGGGGTGTTCCCGAGTGCTGAGGGTCATGGGGGCTCCTGGAGGACCTCAGAAGCCACAGGTAACATGGGGTGATGTGAAACTATAGTGCCAGGCTGAGGGATCCCAGCCATCCTAGGGTTACAGAGAAGACCCAGGAGTACCAGGGACAAAGAGTCAGGGTGACAGGAAGATGCAGACCCAGGGGTCACGGGGGTGATGGAGGAGATGAAAACACCGAGTGCTGGGGGCGGGGAGGGTTCCTGGGAGTCCCTGCACACCTGGGAGCCCATAGCATCGTAGTCTCGGGCGCGGGTGAAGGAGCGGCCCAGCTTGGAGATCTTGCCTGTCGCCTTGTCGATGGTGATCACGTCCCTACGGGGGATGGGGGGTGGGGTAAGGAAAGGAACGAGCCCGAGCTCCCCCATCCTCCCTGGCCACCTGGCACAGCCCGACTGCTCACCCGGCCTGGACCTTGTCCTTGGTCAGGGACTCAATCATCTTGGTGCCCAGGTCGTAGATGGTCTCCATCTCTGTCGTCTTGAGGGTCAGTTTGCCCACTTTGGACCCCTGAGAGTGGGGAAAGTCAGGGAAGAGGCTAAGAGAGGGCCCTGATGTTGTCCCAATGCCCCCAATGTTCACAAGCTTCTGGCCCTGCTCTGGCGTCTGCTTACACAGCTTCAAAATGGGCACGATGCAAGGGAGCTCTTCGGGGGAGGGACACGGTGTGCTCACCAGCCTGACGTGGTGAAGGCTCGGTGATGAACATGTATGTCACAGCTGACCATACTGGACACCTAGAATGTGTGCAGCTTTCTGTGTATCAATTAAAACTCAAAATTTGTTTTTTTTTTTTTTT